AGAAAGCCCCACCAAGCCTCAACGTACTGCCCTCCAAAATACTTACTAATTAAAGAGTATCAAACACAAATTAACTTTATAGTGGAGAGACCTGGCAGATACCATCTTATTAAATGATAAAAGTTAACATCATCAGTAGAAATCTGCATCATGTGCCTCCTAACATCAAGCATTGAAAAGAATACAGCATGACTCTAGTGTTACTCCTAACAAAAATGCCTAAATCATGAGGAAACACCAGCCAAATCTAAACTAAGACATTCTGAAAAGTAACAAGCCACTACTCACTGACCAGTGACAATGCTTTAGAAACACAAACATGCATAAGCACATAAGATGGATTGAAGCTTACAGGAAAGGCACAATAATTATAAACAAAATTTAGCCATTTTAAGTTATTTTTAGGATTTTATATATATTTTTTGACTTCTGGCTAAGATGGAGGTGTAGGTGGAAACACTGTGCCCCCTCACACAATCAAGTTTAAAAACAACAAAGTTTTAGTAACAAAAACGCAACCAAAACACAGAAAATTGAACTATACAGAAGCCTGACAATAATGAAACATTCAGCCAGACCGGTAAAAGGGGCGGAGCCAGCAACTGGCAGAGCGAGGTCGGGTAGGAAAAATTGGCAGGACTGACCCAGGCGCAAGGGCTGTGGTTGGCAGATCCCAGGCTTGGGGTTGCGACAGGCAGATCCAGTGAGGGCGCAAGGTGGCAGGCTGACTGTGGTCATACTTTCATGAGCAGATAAACCAGGCAAAGGAGTGAGCAGTGAGATGGACCGTGCAGGCCCCAATGGTGGGAAGCAGCAGAGGGGACTACTATTGCCCCTTTTTGACCCTGCCCCCACATACAGCATCACAACCCAGCGACTGAGATGCCCTGCCCTGGTGAACACCTATGGCTCTGCCCCTCATACATAACAAGCATGACAAGACCAAAACATTATGGCTCAAGAAGAAGTCAAAGCCTCAGAACCAATAACTCTAAGTGACCAAGAAATAGCCAACCTATCAGATGCACAGTTCAAAACACTGGTGATCAGGATGTTCACAGAACAGGTTGATTTTAGTCACAAATTAGAGGAACAGATGAAGGCTAAACTAATTGAAATGAAGGGAAATGCACAGGAAACCAATAGTAATGGGAAGGAAACTGGGACTCAAATCAACGGAGTGGACCAGAAAGAAGAAAAAATGACCAAACAGACACAAATGAAGAAACAAGAATTCATAAAAATGAGGAGAGGCTTAGGAACCTTCAGGACATCTTTAAACATTCCAACATCCGAATTATATGGTACCAGAAGGGGAAGAGGAAGAGCAACAAGTGGAAAACTTATTTGAACAAATAATGAAGGACCACTTCTCCAATCTGGCAAAGGCAATAGACTTCCAGGAAATCCAGGAAGCTCAGAAAGTCCCAAAAAAGTTGGACCCAAGAAGGAACACATGAAGGCACATCATAATTACATTAGCCAAGAGAAAAATGAAAGAGAGAATCCTAGAAGCAGCAAGAGATAGGAGGACAGTCACCTACAAAGGAGTTCCCATCAGACTGTCAGCTGATGTCTCAAAAGAGATCTTACAGGCAAGAAGGGGCTGGAAAGAGGTATTCCAAGTCATGAAATCCAAAGATCTACATCCAAGATTGCTCTATCCAGCAAAACTTTCATTTAGAATGGAAGGGCAGATAAAGTGCTTCTCAGATAAGGTCAAATTCAAGGAATTCATCATCACCAAGCCCTTATTACATGAAATGTTAAAGGGACTTACCTAAGAAAAAGAAGATTAAAAAGATGAACAGTGAAAGGGCAGCAAACTCACAGTTATTAACAACCACACCTAAAACAAAAGCAAACTAAGAGGATAGCTAGATCAGGAGCAGAACCATAGAAATGGAGATCACATGGAGGATTAGCAACAGGGAAGTGGGAGGAGGAGAAGGGGGGAGAAGGTACAGAGAATAAGTAGCATAGACAGTAGGTAGAAAATAGATAGGGGGAGGACAAGAATAGTATGGGAAATACAGAATCTAAAGAACTTGAGACTCATGGACATAAACTAAGGAGGGGGAATGGTGGGGGAGGGGTGTGGAGGGGAATGAGGGCGGGAAATAGGCCAACTGTAATGGCATAATCAATACAATATATTTTTTTAAAAGATTTTATATATTTTTTAAAGAGAGGAAGAGACACATTGAATGGTTGCCTCTTGTACGGCCACAACCTGGGACTTGGCCCACAACCCAGGCATGTGCCCTGACCAGGTATTGAACCAGTGACTTATAAGCTCGTGCTCAAACCACTGAGCCACATCAGCCAGAGCTAAATTTAGCCACTTTAAACACAGCTTTGGCTGGGCTCTTTATCTATATTCGTAATATAGTAATACATGTAATTCTTTATGAATTAAATAACCATGATATGGTGGCAGGTTTAAAAAGCACTCTAATTTCAAAGAAGTGATACTGAGATAGCTGTAACAACTATAATATAGTATGAAAATATCTAAGGTTTCTATTGATGACAAAGTTGGTTAGTTAATACTATCATAGCTTGTTGCCTACATTCATAATTGAAGAAAATGTTAAATACATGTCAATGAAAAAACTGTACTCTTCTTCTGAGTTTATAAATGCCTGAATTCTATGCCTAGATCTTCTGGGACATGTGAGGGTTAAGAACCCCTGAAATGGCTCCTTGTTGTTCTCAGATAAACATTTCTGTCATATGGCTTAAGTGGAACTTCATGATCTGACTGCCTGCCACCAGTCATCCCGTCTTGAACCTCATTATTGTGCAGCTCACATTCGACTGAGTAAAATCCCTTACCTGCAGACTTCTGCAATGCTATTGCTTGCAACATTCTTCCCATACTTTCTGCCTGGCAAACTCCCAATCATCCGACAAGTGTAAGTTCCCATCAGTGCTTCAGGAAACCAAGACTGTATTGGATGTACTTCTACTGCTCCTGTAGCACCCACACATACTACCCTGTCATAGCATACTGTGTGAAAATTGCCCCCCTCATGAAACTGGAAACACTTTAACTATTTCTCCCCACTATTTGCATGCTGTGTGGCACAGAGTAGGTACTTCAGTAATTGTGGAAAAAAGGGGAAAAAAAGAAGGAAAATTCCTAATTGCTGTGTCTTGACTTTGAATTCTGTCATGAATTCCTGACTAACTAAATGCAAGCTATTTGTCACAATAGGAATCAGTTAATAGTGATTAATATATAATCACTATTTTTATTGGAAAAATCACTTAGTGTGATGATTGACAGTGAAGGACATTATCACTATTACTATAAATCCATATGAGGAAAGTTTTATTACCTTGCAATACTAAGTAAAAAAAAAACATTTCTGTATAAAAGAAAATTATACCAAAAGATTGTACACATCTATAGTGATTCTTGACTATGCGCACGACTCCAGAGTGGTATTGGTGGTGTCAGTGGTGGAGGGACTACAGACCCATCCTCAGGAAGTGTTACCAAAATTGATGAGGTAGAAGATGAGTTTTCAAACTCTATGCCTCTCAACCTCTGTTTTAGTCAGCCACTGATGCTGAGAGGAATGTGTGGTCATCTTCAAGTTCATTGTGGTGGTCAAAGAATGAGAACCACTGTTTTAAGTTTGTCCAACAGCAGATCAAGCAACACTGTCAATCGATCTTGTAAAAAAAAAACTGATAATAAAATGTTTTCTGTATTCCTTTAGGTAGGCTGAAGAAGGGGAGGGAGCTAGGGAGAATTCAAACTGCCACAGTGGCATAAAGTTTTTAATGTCCTGTTAGGAATTTAAAACATAAACAGGTTGGAAGTGGGGCAGGAAAAAAGCAATGAGACAAATGAATAAAAAGCAGACTACAAATTGCTGAAGGGGTAAAACAAAAAGGTCTTGTTCTGAGAACAGGGGTGAATTCACTGTGATTAGAAAGTGTGTCTGAGTAGTGACAGGTCAGAGTATAACTAAAGAGGACTCTGAATGACTAAATTCTGGGCAGATCAAAGTGCCAATGGCTTCCTTTAGGAAAATTAATCTAAGCATCCTAAACAGGATGAATTAAAGGGTTGAGAATACAGGTAGAGAAACCAATGATGAATAATACACTGCTTGACACAGATTAACTAACAAAAATGCCATAAAACACTAGAAGATAGATCCCTCCACCTGTGATCAGAAATGGTGTAAGGATGTAGGAGATTCATTGCACATTTTACCTCCCTGGCATCTTAATTTGATACAAGTGAAGGATATCATTTGTCAGTAATTTTAACTCACAGGCCTGCTTTCCTCTCTTTTGTTGTATCTGACTGTTCCTGGAGTTTTCATGAGAAAGGTCTAATATAAATCAAAAGAACATAAAAAGAATACTATTCTTAATTTAACCCCCCCACAAAAACCTGTTTAAATGAAAATGTCCAAAAAATACTTAAAAAGTAGTTTTTCAAATTCTCAAATGTTTTATGTAACCATTTCATATTAAAGTAGGGAACTTAATCTTTACCGTTAATACAGGGAGGTTTTAGAAATGTCTTTTACTTAAGGCTCACGGTCCAATGAAGCATTAAAGTTTATGATAGAATACTATTTGTTTACCATTGATTATAAAATCTGGAAGTTATCGGCCAGTTAATTTTTATGGTTGACATTTTTACGATTAAATAAAAGTCATCTATTAGAACAACTTCCCCAAAGTAGTGGTACAAGCTTGGTACGTGGTTTGGTATGTCCGGGTGGGGCAATTGGACAAAACGACCTGGGGCTCTGAGAACCCCTTCGTTCACCAGGAAGGGAGGAAGAACCTGGCATACACAAAAAGGACAAATTCGGTACTGCACTAAGACACGCCCACTGCCATCACCACCGAATTTGTTATGCTCGGGACACTTCCCAGAGCTGCCCGAACTTTACCCCACCTCCCCACATCCCCAGTGCCCTTGTCTGAGGATCTTGGTGGCCCCCGAGAAAGGGCCCCCTCCCTACCTGCGCTAGGACAGTGAATCCGCCCTGCGGCGCCGCCACATTCACGCGGAAGTGGTACCATGCCACTCCTGCTCCTGCCAGCGTCACGCTGGCCGCTGACGCCGCCACCCATCCAGAGGCCCGCACAGCTTGCGAACCCGCAGTCACTCCACGGAGCAGCCTACTGCACCAAGCCGCCAGCCGAGAGACGCGGACCGCCGCCGCCATCTTTGCGGAAGTGCCCACGACTTATCACGCGAGAACCCCCTTACCCGTGGGTCTCGCGAGATCCCTGGCCTCCCTACTGTCTGCGGGATGCGAGCCTTGCGAGCATTGCGGGCGACTTGGGGCCACTGGGTTGGGGCGGGTACGGAGGGACTGGTTTCGGCTACCTTGGTTCGAAGGAACTGGAGAAGCGCCACAACACCCAGAAAGACTGCAGTCAAAGGCTAGACGGATCCGTGTGGTGGAGGAAGTGCCCTGGAGGATGTGTCCCTTGTCCGTAAGCGAGGTATCGCCTGTCGGATCCACTGAGGGATCCGGGTTGCGGGCTCCGCCCCATACAGGCAGCGGCAAAATTATCTGATAGTAATTGTGATCAGCTGTGCGTTTCACCTCCAACAGGCGCGTTATGACATTGAACTCATCCCTGAAAGTTTTGGGACGCAGAGCCCAGTTCTCTGCATATTCCCAAGGACATTTGCTCTTGGTGCCGCAAGCTTACCTATATTAACGGTTTCTTAAAGCTGTCCTGTTATTCAGAAGTCTGCAGGTACTTTCGCACAGGCGGTTTAAAATACTGTGGACTAAACTATCCGGCCTCTAGTGAGCACCCTTGCTATAGAGAATTTTTTCTACTTGACTCACTTCAGCAGCTAAGTTAGATTGTTTAAATTCATTTTTTTGATTGTGGTAAAATACACGTAACACGAAATTTACCATCCTAACCAATTTTATATTTAAGGTTCAGGGCTATTATGTACTTTCACACTCATGTGCAACCATCACACCATCCATATCCAGAACTTTCTTCGAAGATCTTGCAAAAATCTAGCAAACTTAAAAAAAATTAGTGTAGGGTCACATTCTTTAAAAAATATTGCTGTTTTTCAATTACAGTTATATTCAATATTATCTTGTATTAGTTTGAGGTGTACAACATAGTTAGACAATCATATACTTTACAAAGTGTTCCCCCCTATATTTCATCTACCCACCTGGCACCATACATAGTTAATGGAATATTATTGACGGTATTGTCTATCCCCTGACTGTTTTGTAACTGCCAATTTGTACTTCTTAATCCCTTCATCTCTTTCACCTAACTCCCCAACCCCCCTCCCACCTACTAACCATCAATTTGTTCTCTGTATTTACCTATCCTCATATTCTTGATTGCTCTTGTTTTTTTTGCCAAATTGTATCCTATTCCAGCCAACTCATTTAGACAAAGCATATTCTTAAAAACTCTCAAAGCCACTCTCTTTATTTCAGGCAATCACTATTTATTGAATGTTGAATTTAGATTCTGTCCTGATAAGGTGTTTGATAGTATCTATTATACCATCTAGGGCCAAGTCAGATGCAGGAGCACCTCTACCCAATGTCCCTGTCATCACCAGGGACTCAGATATTTTCCCCAGTGTGAGTCGGAACATTACCTCATTCCTGGTTGTTCCATTGGTCATAAGAAACTATCTCACTGAGGCAGATAATAGCTTTATTTTGTTGACTCTGACCCTCCATCCTTTGGTATTTACTTTTTAGTGTCAGTTTACTTAAAAAACTTTGTTCAGCCTCTGAAGTGTCCCTGGCCATTAAAAACTTTACTAGGGTATGCAGAAACAGAGCCAAAGTCAAAGGTGCCAAGACCTTGTCCTGACCTTGCCCTGGCTGGTGTGGCTCAGTGGATTGAGGGCCAGCCTGCAAACCATAGGATCACTGGTTGCATTCTCAGTCAGGGTTTATGCCTGGGTTGCAGGCTAGGTCCCCAGCTGGGGCCAAATGAGAGGCAACCACACATTGATGTTTCCCTCTCTCCCCCTCTTCCCCTCTGTCTAAAAATAAATAAATAAAAATTTTTTTTAAAAAGAAGAAGAGTCCAGATTGATCTTGCAGGCACTGCCATCTTGAAATTTTGCAAAACCAACTGAACACAAGGGCCATACTAAATTTGATTTGTCTGCTTGATTCCTCAGATCATTTTGTCATAATCCTCCCTTAGTTCTTGTTCCCTTTGTCTTAGCCAGTTTGACTAAATTAGTCTGCAGTTGGAGTTTCCTCATGTTCTCCCCAGCTGCTGAAAACTTTCAGTGCCTTCCAGTGGAAGAAGTACATCAAACTCACTGTGCACAGAGGTGTGAACCAAACCACAGGGTTTGTATCCTGATTCTGCTGGAATCTGGGGCAAATTACTTAATTTCTGAGTCTCAGTCTTTTTTCCATTGTAAACAACTGTCATGATTTGGGGTTGGGGGTTAAATGGGAATTCTATGGGAAATGATCTGGCACATGGTTGACTCATCAAAGATGTCATTTTTTTCCCTCTTTGAGATCTGGCTCACTCCTGCCTTCTGATCACAAATGAGCTTGATTGGTAGTTGTTGATTCCAGATCACTAGCCCACCTAACCTGAGAATTTTTTGGTTGACCTTATATACCTCTGATCTACTTTTCACCTCTGCTGACTCTGGATGAATGTTCTTTAATTCCTTGGTTGTCTGATTTGACCTCTTGACCTATGCTTTACTTTTCTGGATTGTTGACATCTAGCTTGTTTCTGTGTCCTGCTGTTTATGGGATTTCTAGGATACCTTTGGACGTCCTGGATGTCTTACCTTGTAGCTTATTCTTGATTTCCATAGACCACAGTTCAAATGGTACTGTTATTTATACAAATGCTGAGTAATTCACACAATTTCTATAGCCAGTTGATAAAACCCTGCATGTTACTTAACCCTGCATGTTACTTGGGGCCCTGCATGGCCCCAAGCCCCAGATAGGTGCATATTCCTATTAGAACATTTGGCATATTTAAAACCATTGTGTTTCTCGCACAGTTTGGAATCCTTCTGGCTGAGGCTATCTTGTTTTTCTGTTTTCTCAGGGCCCAGCACATATTAGATATTCAATGAAATGAATATATGAACAAGTAAATGACTAAATAGATGGCACAAATGAAACTCTAGTGTGCCTATTTACATTCTGTGGGCACCGAACATACAAAAATATATTACTCCTTTCATATAATTTATTTTCTAAGACAAAAATCTCATTTTATTTTATTTTACTTTTTTATTGTTATTCTATTAAAGATGTCTTAATTTTTCCCCCTTTGCCCTTATCCGTCCAGCCCACCCACCACTCCCACAGTCAGACCCCACTCTGTTGTCCATGTCTGCAGATCATTCATACATGTTCTTTGATTAATCCTTTCCCCTTCTTTCCACCATTATCCTCCTCCCACTTCCCCTCTGGTCACTGTCAGTCTATTCCATGCTTTCATGCCTCTGGTTCTGTTTTGCTTGTTAGTTTATTTTGTTTATAAGTTCCTGTTATAAGTGAGATCATATGCTATTTGTCTTATACCACAGGCTTGTTTCACTTAGCATAATGCTCTCCAGTTGCATCCATCTGTCGCAAAAGGTAGGAATTCCTTCTTTCTTTTTGCTGGGTACTATTCCATTGTGTAGATGTACCACACTTCTTTTTTTTTTTTTTTTCATTTGCTCACTTACTGATAGGAACTTAGGCTGTTCGCAAGTCTTGGCTATTGTAAATATGAAAATGAGGGTGCATAAATTCTTTTGGAGTTTCAGGATTCTTTGTGTATATTCCTAAGAGTGGAATTGCTGGGTCAGAAGGCAGTTCCGTTTTTAGTTTTTTGAGGTAATTCCATACTGTTTTCCACAGTGGCTGCATCAGTCTGCATTCCTACCAACGGTATACAAGGGTTCCCCTTTCTCTATAACCTCACCAGCACACGTATGTTCATTTGTTCATGATGGCCATTCTGACTGGTGTGAAGTGGTATCTCATTGTGGTTTTAATTTGCATCTCTCTAATGGTTAGTGTTGCTGAGTATCTTTTCATATATCTCTGGACCCTCTGTATGTCCTCCTTGGGGAAGTGTCTGTTCAGGTCCTTTGTTCATTTTTTAATGGGATTGTTTGTCTTCCTGGTTTTGAATTGAGTTCTATATATATTTTGGAGATCAACCCCTTGTCCAATGTATCATTGGCAATTATGGTCTCCTATACGGTCGGTTCACTTTTCATTTTGATGATGGTTTAGCTGTGCGGACGTGTTTTCATTTGATATAGTCCTATTTATTTTTTCTTTTTTTCCCCCTTGCTCTAGGAGATATATAAGCAAAAATATTTTTACCTGAGATATCTGAAATTTTACAGCCTGTGTTTTCCTCTAGGACTTTTATGGTGTCTTGACTTATATTTAAGTCTTTTATCCATTTGGAGTTTATTCTGGTGTATGCTGTATGTTGGTGGTCTTGTTTCATTTTTTTGCATGTACCACTCCTGTTCTAACACGATATATCAAAGAGGCTACTTTTACAAAGTGTGCTCATGCACACTTTCTGAAATATTAATTGACCATAGAGACATGGATTTATTTTTGGGTTCTCTATTCTGTTCCATTGATCTGTATGTCTGTCTTATGCCAGTATCAGACTGTTTTGATACAGTGCCCTTGTAATATAGTTTGACATCAGGTTTTGTGATACCTCCTGCTTTGTTCTTCTTTCTCAAAATTACTGAGGCTCTTTGGGGTCTTTTTTGTTTTCATGTAGATTTTTGAAATGTTTGTTTTAAACAGTGAAATATGCCATTAGTATTTTAATAGGAATTTTGTTGACTCTATAGATTGCTTTGGGTAGTCTGGACATTTTGATGTTGTTAATTTTTCCAATCCATGAAAATTGTATATGCTTTCCTTTATTTGTATCTTCTTTAATTTGTATAGTTTCAATGTTCTGTAGTTTTCTCTGTATGAATCTTTTAACTCCTTGGTTAATTTTATTTCTGGGTACTTTATTTTTCTTGTTGCTATAGTAAATGGGATTTTCCCTCCAGTTTCTCTTTCTGATATTTCATTGTTGGTGTACAAAAATACCTTTGATTTCTGAATATTGACTTTGTATCCTGCTATTTTGCCACATTTCCTAGTTACATTTAGTAGCTTTTTGATGCAGACTAGAGGGTTATCTATGTACACTATCATGTCATCTGCATATAA